TGTGGAGATTTAGTATTTTCATAGTTGGAAGCGTGAGTCAATTGAAGCCAGATCACCAAGGAAAGCCTGGAAGCACTGGACGGTCGTTTCGTCCTACTGTGAGAAGTCCAGTGCTTCCAGGTTTTCCCTGGTGGTCTAGCTTCAATTGACTGACGCATTCAACTATAAATTTTAATATTAAAAAGTGTATCAACAAAACTAAGTCATCATTCAAATTTTTATATCCTTCATTTTACTTTTAGTTGACAAAAAACAGAGTTAGGCAAGGATTAATGACAATTTAATCAAGAAATAAAAGGTGGCAATTATATATAAATCAGTATCATCATAACACAGTCCGCAAAAATAGCATAAAGAGAGTAGATTTTATTTATCTTTACAGTTAAACTCAATGTTTATGTAGAGAGACAACTCAAGCCTTTGAATAGGCTACTCTTGAGGAGACCATTAAGGATGTGGTCATAAGTTGACACCACAAACACAGTTGTTAAGGGTTATACACTGATCATCACTTCAGTCTTCTTATTCAGGGTCAAGAAGGAAGTACTCGCTACCAAGGCGACCAACACTACGAAGGAAACAGTGATCTGACAGAGGACCAATTAACGCTATGAGCGTAAACCGACAAAATTCATGGAAATGCCTGTATACATTGATTTCTGTGTCAATGAAAAAGGGTGAACAATAAATTCTTATGAGAATCATTGGAATATGCCTTTGTTCTTGGATTCGTTAAAATTACATCACTGGAGTTAGCTAATAAGCAAAGCATTATGAGGATATTTCACAACTTTATATATAACTCATTCAAATGTTATCAGTTCGTCGGTCATATGTCTTCAGAAAGTTATACATCTCACTAATCATTTAAATGATATTTTTCTAATCATTCTGAACAGGGAAACAGATCATGAAAATTCAACTGAGCTGATAATGTTAAACATAAATGTATCGTTGTCAAAGCAACATAATCGAGCTAAAGTATTTTAATTTTAAGTAGAAGTGAGCAAGAACTCTGGAGTTTTTCATTTCATTTTACGGTTTCATAATATCTTTCAATGTAATTCATATCTAATACGATCAGGATTAAAAAGAAAAAAAACTATTGGATAGCTGGAAAATTTTATTTTTCGATTACTAGACAGTTTGAAAATACTAAATTTTAAACATTGAAACCCACGATCATATTTATTTACAGCTACTTACCTACTTTTTGTTATGCTTGACACTAAATCGATTCCGCGGTAACGAACGAAAGCCAATGACACGATAAGCTATTCTAATCGGTTGTCCCAGGCCCCGCTAACTAGATGAAGAAGTCCAAGGCAAGTAGGGGAATATATATGTATTCCGTAAGCAGCCGAGTACAAGCAATCGAATAAGGGAAAAAGTCAAGCGCATTTATACAGTAACAAATTGTTGAGGTAAGATGGTGGTTGGAGGTGGTCAACAGGAAACCCTGGACCCAGGTTTCGTGCTACTTGGCACTCGTCAGCAAGGTGTACCTGTAATCCTGAGGGAACTGATGCTCCCTGGCGGATTACAGGTACACCTTGCTGACGAGTGCCAAGTAGCACGAAACCCGGGTCCAGGGTTTCCTGTTGACCACCTCCAACCACCATCTTACCTCAATATACATAGTGCAAGCAGTGTCGAGCCACCTAGACTGGTGGTCACATTGCAACTCGATCGATAGCATTCGATCAACACTAAGAAGGACCTGACACGCATGAGATTGATCACCACCCAGTGATCAATCAATTGTGAGTAACAAATTGTCCTTGAGCATCATTAGTAAATAGCACACATGAAGAAACAATGGACCAATAGCTGTTAAGATAGTTTACAGGTGGGAAATATGACGTGAAGGTAAAAAGAGCGCTTTTGGCGCGAAAACGGTTAAATTCAAATTTTCAAATTAAAACTACAAGATTAAGCCATTTACCAAGTAAGTTCTGGGGATTTGACATCCCCAACACCTCCCCTTTTTAGTAACGGACATTATTTGGGTCCACCTGCATTCTAACTGTCTGTCGCCGTTGGCGCAGTGACCATCTTCGGGACCGTAGATCGACCTTTTGTGCTTCTTCATGCGTTGGGACTGCCGGCAGATTAAATGTATCCAATAGTACGTCCAGCGGAATCTTTACTTCGGTCGATGGGCGCTCTGGTGTTAACCGCTTGCGTAGTTGATTTCGATGTCTGGTCCATCTGTCCGTTCCTACCTCAACCTCATACATGACCTCTCCCACCCGTCTAACCACACGTGCTTCGATTTGCTCTGTAGTCCCGAGCGAATACTGGGCATCCAACGTTGTACGTGGGTAGCTTCCGGGACGTGGTTTGTATTAGTGGTGGTGTGGATTTCGGCAGCATCAAGTTGTGAATGGTCCTCAGCCGTCTTCCCATGAGGATCTCTGCTGGGAACTTCTGCTCCGGCAGCGTGTCGTTGGGTGTCGTTCTGTAGGCAAATAAAGAATTCTGCAGTGTTTCCACTGGCGTCCCCTCCCCTTTTGACTTAATCAGAGCCCTCTTGAACGTATCCACGAACCTTTCCGCTTGCCCATTCGATTGTGGGTGGTAAGGTGGGGCGCGAAGATGCCTGATGGTCAGGCGTTTGCAGAACTCTTGGAACTGCGCCGAGGTGAACTGCGAACCGTTGTCGGATACAATCACTTCCGGTAATCCGTTCCGTGCGAACAACTCAGTCAAATGTTTCAGAGTCTGGGTGGTCGTTGGTGGAGTGACGGGAACAATCTCCGGCCATTTTGAGAAGGCGTCGACCACGACAAGATATGTGGTTCCGTTGACTGGACCGGCAAAGTCGATATGTATCCTAGACCAGGGATGCTCAGGCTGTGGCCATGGGACCGGCGGTACCTTCGCATTGGACGTTGCAGCTTGTTGACACTGAGCACATTTGTTTACTAGATCCACGATATGCTGGTCCATGAGGGGCCAGTAAGCATAGCTTCTGGCGATGGATTTCATACGCTTTATGCCTGGATGACCACTGTGGAATTGCTTCAGCACCCTCGGTCGTAGGGATTCTGGCACGACCACTCTATCTCCAAACATCAAGCATTCATTTACGACACATAATGAGTCACGACGATGGTAAAGCTGCTTCATGTCACCGTCAAGTTCAGTTGATGGCCAGCCATTGGTGACGTAGTTCATCGTTTTCTTAATGACGGGGTCGTTTCTGGAAGCAGTTTGTATCTCAGATTCTAAGACTGGCAAAGCACGAACATCGGTTGTCAGGTAGCATTGCGCGTGGTCTTCTGTCGAAAGAGAAGCGATAACGGCATCTTCATCGGTCGTAGAGTGTTCGTTGATGAGTCGTGACAATGCGTCTGCTTGACCAAATTGTTTGGTGCGTCGATACTGAATGCCAAAATCATACCCCAAGAGGATCAAAGCCCATCGTTGGAGACGGTTTGCAGAGTGGGCCGGGACGCCAGATTTCGAACCAAAAATTGCGAGAAGGGGCTTGTGACCCGTAAGGAGTGTGAACCTCCGACCGTACAAAAATTTGTGGAACCGCCGCACCGCAAACACCAGGGCGAGAGCCTCCTTCTCTATCTGACTATACTTCCTTTCTGCCGGGGTCAGTGTTCGGGATGCGTGCATGACAGCCTTCTCTGTTGCGTCTGGAAACTGATGAGAAATGACGGCTCCTAAGCCATACGCTGAGGCATCTGCAGCTACAATGATTGGCATGCATGGATCGTAGTGCGTTAATAACAATTTCGAGCTGATGATGGACTTCAGTTTACAGAATGCTGCGTCACACTCTTTAGTCCAGTTCCACGTACTGTTCTTGCTCAGTAGGCCATTCAGTGGGGCACGAATGTCATGCATTGAAGGGACGAACGCGGCATAGTAAGAGACCAGTCCCATGAAGGAACGCAGTGCGGAGATATTCGTGGGTGTGGGCATCTGTCTTATCGCTTGGACATTTTCAGGATCCGGTCTGCGGCCGTCAGCATCAAAAATAAACCCCAAATACTTTACGGACCGTAATAAAAACTGGCATTTCTCAGGTCGTAACCGGAACCCGTTTTCACTAATGCGTTTCAGTACCGATGTCGTTCGTTCATGTAGCTGTTCTAACGTTGCGGCAACAATTAGAATGTCGTCAAGGTAAGCCGCGACTCCCGGGATGCCCGATAAGATAGTATCCATTAATTGTTGGAAAATAGATGGTGCAGTCTTGACACCGAATGGTAAACGGTTGTACTGAAATAACCCACGGTGAGTGTTGATAGTAAGCAGCTCCCTAGATGCTTCGTCTACTTCAACTTGCAAATAAGCATCAGCGAGATCCAGTTTTGCGAAGAATTTTCCCCCATTCAGCATCGTAAACAAATCTGCCGGAACTGGTAAGGGATAGTGGTGTTGTTCAAGGGCTGCATTTAGACCTGTAGAAAAATCAGCACATATTCGTAAGGTGCCGTTTGCTTTCTTGATGACCACTATCGGTGCTGCCCAGGCGGAGTAAGAAACGGGAGTAATTACTCCTTGTTGTTGGAGGCGGTTTAATTCTTCATCTACTGTTGGTAACGTCGCATAAGGCACGGGTCTTTTGGGACGAAAGACAGGCTTAGCTCCAGGTTTCAAACGAAGCGTTGCTTTTAAGGTAGAACACTGTCCCAAACCAGGCTGGAAAATCGATGAAAACTGCGCCATTAGCTTCCTGGTATACGATTCAGTGCCATGAGGTTGTGATATCATGTGGCATATGGTATTTAGTGGGACATCAGCCAATTTCAGTTGATCGAACCAATCTAAACCAAGTAAATTTAGATCAGCTGGAGTTATATGACATACCCCGGTAAACGACGACTCCCGTAAGGTCACTCTACATTCCAATTGTCCTGCTAAGTGTAGGAAATTACCACATGCGGTACGAGGCTTTTTAGTTGTTCGCTGCAGGCTTGGGCTACCCATTTTGATCCAATTTTTGTGAGAGAGGATGGTGACGTCTGATGCGGTATCTATTTGCAATCTAAAAAAATGTCCATTAATATTAATGTTAATGAATTTCCTCTCACCTGGTGATGAACTCTGACAAGAAGATACCAAGCTCAAAGAAGAGGTACAGGGCTTTGGAACCGTCTTTTTGGTATTACTGGATCGATTTGGTGTGCTCTTAGGGCAAAACCCGTCCTTGTGGCCAACAACCTTGCACTTCCTGCATCGATGTTGCTTAAATGGGCAATTCCTTACGTAGTGCCATGCACCACAATGCCAGCAAGGAGTGGAGGGATTTGTTCTGGTCTGTCGAATTGGGCTGAAATGAGTTGGACTGAATGCAGCGGGAGCGCACTGATTCTGGTTAGTTGTCTTTTGGATTACTCGTACTTCCGATCGACTAGACCCACCACTCTCAACCATCAACGTGTCTCGTTGTAGATTTACTGGGCGTTGATATTCATTAGCCATGTCATTTAGTGTGAGTTTTGGATCTTGGTCCAATCGACATAGTAGTCGCGTTCTTATGTCACTGAACTTCTGGGACTGAAGGTTGCAAATGAGGATAAGGGCTTTGAACTGGTCTTCAGATAAAGACTTTAACCGGAACCGTTCGCATTCACGGTTAACGATGCCCACATGCTTAAGGAAGTCATCGTCTTCGTTCATAACCAGCTTCAAACATCGGTAACGGGTGTTAAACAATGATGAATTGTCCCCAAAATGTTGGCTTAGTGTCTGGACTGTGTCTGCGAAAGAGCGATCACGTGGATTCAATGGCAGGATCAAGTTGCAGTACCTGACCAGCTCACTTGCACCCAACTTCCGAAGTAGCAGTCGTACCTTCCAAGCATCATCTTGATTAGAAAAATCAAATTTAAATAGGTCTTCATAACGCCGGAACCACATGTCAAAAGTAACGTTTGCATCAGGATCATAATGAAACTCAGCAATACTATTTGTGATGCCGTCTACTGATGGTGCTGTGGTTGCATTAGCTGTGCTAGGCTGTGAAGGGGGCGAAACTTTCATGTCTGTCAGCATTTGTATGAGCTTCAGCTGCTGTTCAAGTAATGATTCGAGTCTAGAAGGATCCATGTTTCCAAACCACCGTCGCCAATTGTTATGCTTGACACTAAATCGATTCCGCGGTAACGAACGAAAGCCAATGACACGATAAGCTATTCTAATCGGTTGTCCCAGGCCCCGCTAACTAGATGAAGAAGTCCAAGGCAAGTAGGGGAATATATATGTATTCCGTAAGCAGCCGAGTACAAGCAATCGAATAAGGGAAAAAGTCAAGCGCATTTATACAGTAACAAATTGTCCTTGAGCATCATTAGTAAATAGCACACATGAAGAAACAATGGACCAATAGCGGTTAAGATAGTTTACAGGTGGGAAATATGACGTTTTTGGCGCGAAAACAGCTAAATTCAAATTAAAACTACAAGATTAAGCCATTTACCAAGTAAGTTCTGGGGATTTGACATCCCCAACACTTTTCTAACTAGGACTGATGGTAACCACACGTCGAAAAGACAAGTTGCCAGATCACGTTTTAAGGCTTCTTTTAATATCATTAGAACTCTAGTGTCGATGATCGTATACAGCTCTTTATTGAGAATTACAAAGGATTCAAAATTAATTGTCTAAAAATTGCTTACATTAACTGGTAATGCGTTTCTGAGGTTTTTAACATTATGGTCAATTAAAACTTATATTAATCTAGAAACGACTGGCTAAAACTCTTGGGATATATTTTGGGCGATATCAAGTCTTTGGAAGATTTAACTCTTCTTATATTATCTCTATCACATACTTTTTAGCTGTAAATTTGACTGTCTGCTCTCAGCTGTCGAAATCCCCTATTTGAGGCTTTCTGGAAATTCGCAGCGAACATAGACGAATTCTCTTTACCGATTTGAAATTTATTCAATATGGTAGTTTTCGTCCTACTCTCAGGCAAATGATTTGTTTGATGAAAACTCTGACAAAATGAAAAAGTCTTCTGATCACCTTGAGCAATAATACAAGCACGTTTCTCCATCTTTGAATGTAAGACGTTGCTTCATAGCTGATCTCTGTTTATCACAAGATTAATAATAGAAAATTGAGAAGTTAAACATTTTGATCGCTTTATTTATCCTGAAAGCTTTGTCAGCCCTGGGGGGTTGCGGTCTGACGAAGTCTGAGGACACTATCAAAAAGCTCAACTAGCTTTTGAAATCATGCGTCATTTGCTTCAAAAGTGAGATGTCCGTTTATTATTTAGAGGACGAGTATATCGAGCGATAGCCTTCCCTTATAGTGGTGAAACATGGTCTACGAAAATAGAAGATATGTATAAGCTAAAGTCTTTTTATTATGGGTGTTTTCGAATCATTTCTGGCGTTTTACGAAACGACAGAGTGAAAAATGTTGAGGCTAATTATGGGGTTCTAAGTAAAGGTGGCGAATCGGTTGATGAGACTGTGAACATCCGCCAAACGAGGTGGTTAGGATGTATGGAACGTGGGTCAAACTACCGCCTACCTCGACAAGCCATACTTATTAGTGCTAAAAGTAGATTGGAAGGAAGCTAAGAGGCGGCCAAACTAGAAAGTGGAATGAGTTTTTGAAGTCACTGATTGATGGAATGAGCAGTGTTGGTCGGAAAAAACTACCGAGTCGGGTTCACAATCTCAATATTACACCACTTACTTCATAAATCTGTAGGCAAAAGAAAACCTCAACTAACTAATATCTAATTACAAATACAAGAACATATTAGAGTTTCTACAAAAAAAGTAACCTAATGAATTAAAAAAGAGAAAAAATAAGATAAGGTATGGCAATATTAAAGAGTAATAACTATTGTTCTATAAAATACCATCATCGCGCATAAACTGGAATAATCAATCATCAAACAATAGTAATATTTAAGTATAAACAAGAAGTCAAAGTAACAAATGAACAAACAAAACTGTGTTTAGTGTTAACTAAAATTCTGTCTACAAAAACGATTTAAAAAAGATTTGCACTTATATTTTTCTATTCCAAACGCTGTCGTTTCTTATTGCCATGTGTTTATTTATATACATGATTAACAATATTCAGGGAATAACGCTTTGAGTTGAGCTTCTGTATTTTCCGGTGATGTGACAGTATGTCCAATAGTTCGTGAGTCACTGAATATTTCGTAATCATTTCCACCCTGAGAATACAGAAATATTAAAAGTAAAAAGTAATAATACACTGTATAATGAGAGGTAAACCAAAGACATATGTAAGATGATTGGTCAACATTATGACAAAAAGCCCTGTTTAACCTCATACTCATGCTAGTTGGTATCTATGGGCAATCTGTATCTACTATCTTGAGGGAAAATGATTACCCTTACAAAGCTTAAAAACGTGTCACTCATTGTCAGTTGGAGAGGTTACCATTAAGCTATTTGAAGGTATCAATACCGAGGTTGAAGTTGACATTTTCAAATAAACTGAGGATTGGTTAGAAGGTTGATGATAAGTATATTTTTTTGATATCCCAATAAGTAGAAAATTGTATTTCTGATGTTCTGCGACTTAATGTAAGTCACTTATACAGAATTAAGTGACTGATATTAAATCAGTCAGAAATACGATTTTAAACTAATTGGAATATTACAAAAATATTATTATTATTTGGGTTATCTGGTTCTTCGTTGGTCATTAATCCAAAAAATATACTCAGACTTGGTTAGATTTCCTTAATGAGCATTTTAGCCCATGTGCTGTGTCACCAGTACGAAAACTATTGACTATATTGTTATCCTCCTAGTTTTACATTTCAATCTAGTTTGACTTACAATTTTGTTTAAGTATACATTATATTTGGATAAATACAGGATATAAAAGTATTCACTCGTGTATTTTCAAACAATGGACAAATAAAAACGTAATTACTAATTGTATACAAATTTGTTTAACTGTGACAGTCATACACAAAAATACGAAGGCATGAAATCTGTAAACATTCATTAATTTTAATGCTTTTACCTCTTCTGTTTTGTCGCCAAAAAAATGTATAGTATCGTAATCTTCCAGGAATTGTAAACAGTATCGTTTGTCCCAACCTTTTGGAAAAACATCAATACTAATTTGTCCACCTACAAGAGAAAAGTAAACAAACCATATAGATTACAACCTTACATTAACATCGTAAAATAATGTAATACAATTGTTATATTCCGAAGAGAATTATGAATGGTAACTTATGAAAACTATTTATGGACCGATACTATATGCATATTTTTATTGTATAATTATTAACTAACTAAACTATTAATATCTATATCCCTCTTATTATAAGCGTTGTCTTGACTTTTGAGTTATCCCCAGTCTATTAATTACTGCCTCCCACATCCACAGCCACATTTGGCTGAATCTTATACAAATGTTCTTTCTTATTCTATGGTACGATGTGGTCTTTTTGATTGTTATATAAACTCAGTATGTTTGAAATATAATGATTCATATTGCAGAGGCTGTTATTAGCTTTCTGGACTTAATTGGCTGGGCTAGGAAGATAGCAGGACCGACAACTGCTCGTACGGATTTTATGTGTCACTGGTCCGATCGATAAATTCAATGCTTTCTAATTGGTGGCATCGTCACGTTATATATTAACAAGGCACACAGGCCACATGTTATAACAACAATACTGAAATATATTGAGCTATCAGTAGCCTAGATGATAACAAGGCATTTAGCTCTAAAGTGTCAAAACACAAGGTCAAATCCTTTTTCACCTACTTCGATTTCGACATAGTTTTAGCCACAGAAAATTGAGAACTAGAAAGCAATGAGATGAGATTCGGTGGCGGTGCATACCTAAGACTTTAGTATAAATAAGACACGATTAGTGTTTAAGCGTTGAGGTGCGGATGTGATCCTTAAACAACTACTTAATGGTCGACATTTTCCACTTCAGTCAACTCATAGTATAGGATGATAATCATCCAATATCGTAAGGGATATTTGTCTCATAAGTAGCAGAATTTGGACCTGAGGCCTAATGATTAGCTCGAAACGTTCATCACTGACTCGTCGTTCTGTAGCCCCAACTTTAAGCCATACTCTGCGCTTAAAAACATTTGTACATTAAGCGACTATAGTTACCCTTTTTACCATTATACATACTGTGTAGATTAGAAACGTGTCCCGATACATGTTTATCCCAGGTTTTTACTTTCTATATAACCATCTGACTGTATGAATTAGCTTACCAATAGCGAATTGTAAAGGACTTGAATGAAATTCCGAACGCATTTTCATGACGAAATTTTCGCGAATTTTATGTTTCTAAAGTAAAAAAATATATAACCGTCAAAAAACATTTATTTTATTACCATATCATCGATAGGTGATGAAGTAAATGCACTTGGACAAAAAAACCAAAATATTGAGATATTACACTAGTAATTGCAGATATTGTTCACATAAGTTCATGTGCAATCAATGTTATTAAGCACTAAAAAGATTAGATGATATCCATTATCAAGAACTCATTCATACGATTGAATAGAAATGTTCTGATCATGAATGGTACTTTGGGTTGGGGACAAAGTTTGTCTAAATTGACGATTCAGTAATGCTAAGCTGGTTTGGACATTTGGTTCTTAAGTGCTCTTACAAATCACGGAAACTAATTTGAATGTACTAAAACCAGAAGCAGTTAGTATCACCATTAAAACGTGATGCATGTACCAGACTCACAAGTAAACTTATACTACTAATTGTTTTGAGAAGCAGCTGCCAAACTTAGCATTAAAGTCACTCGCTTAGCTTTTTTAAGAAGTTCAGAGAGCGTTCTGCATAAGTCATCTTTCACTTTATCCGGGTTGCAGTCAGTGGGAGCGTGGGCAGAAACGACGAAAATGCGACGTGTGTCATTATCTTTCCGAGTTCTTACGGAGCCGTTTAGCCGGACAGCACAAAGGCGACTACTAACGGGGATCCATTCTAATAGTGCTTCTTCTGCCCTCGTACTAAGTGCTACGCCTATACCTGCAAGTTCATGAGAACTAGCCATCAAGTCGCCAGATACACGGAGGGTGTAGTTCGTCGGCTGTCTATTTTGGCGAGGTAACCGCAGTGCCTGATGGACAACTGCTTGAGGTCGGTCACACGCGACCTTTGTGTGGGTAATTTCTGTGTTAGCTCTGCACTTGTGGGATCTCACCGTCGGGGACGGATGTCCACGGGATAAGGCGAGGTGTGTATTCTTAGGGTCGACCTTCTCTAAACCACCCCTCCTTGTGGGAAGGCAGCATCGCTGTTATGCTGGTTGTCTGAAGGAAACATCTTAATGCCGTTACACCTCTGTACAGTCAACAGTACGACTTCGCCTTCGGGCCTTGAGTTTGATGCTTTTAGTCTTACCGCTCTTCAACTGGCCTGTCTGGCATAGTAAAACCTTGAAAACCGATTGTTCCAGCCAGTATAGCTCGACTGGTTCATCACGATGGGCAAGCCCGGCCACCACGTCAAAGCAGCAGCAACGTTCAGGATAATTTCATAATGAGGTATAAGAAAGACTATCTTAAAAATGACTTGTAACTAATGTTCCATAGATGTTACAAGACTGGAATTCTTGAATAAAGTACATAATAACATAATTTTATTTTACTACAATGTTTCAGGAAACAAGCAATAGCAGCTAAACTTTTCTCATGTTACCAGGGCGCAGCTGTAATATATTATGTATCGATAAGAAATACGGATCACCTGAAAATTTACAGCAACACACGTGCCCCCGTAAAATGTACAATAATCTGTGAAACAAGTGGACAAATTACGATATTTTCGTCGATTTTAAAATTTGACAATAACACTCAAGGAGAAACTGCTGGACAGCCGATCGTGAAACGCTTATTTTGCAGTAAGTATACAAAGAAGACCCACTTTTTCAGTGAATATGAACCATCCTTACCGCATCATATTCAGCAAATTCATCTCGTTCTTCTTGGCTACAGCTTCGTCCAACTGGACAAACATTTATCAAGCCATTTCTGAATTCAATAAAATTTCCTCTTTTCCTCGGAAGCCAGAGGTTCGACATATACTGGAGACAAAAATTGATGAAACGTTGAAGGGTGTCTTCCCCAACATGCTCAACAATATTCTGAAATAAAAGTACGTTGAAGAACACTCGGTTACATACTGTACTTTTAATTTTCTGACCATAATTGTGTACTACTAAACCATTTTCAGAGAATATATATGGAAATTTTTCGGTAGCTTCATGCGTAAATCAAAAGCGTTATTGATAAACATCCCTACCTAATGTCCCAATCTGTGACGAAACTTTCTGGAAATCCGAACCACTAACCACAGCCAAGGGAATATTAGAGCACAATTTAAGCAAAAATCCAGACATATGATCGGATATAATATTGCGTGGCTTTGTCAGTGTTCCATCAACGTCGAATAGGCAAATGACTTTTTTACTCATTGTATACAAGCAACTAATAAAAACGATTAACAGAATACCATTTTTACAACCATTAAAAGTAGATATGAAGGTTTACAAAACATACAATCTGAAGAACATCAATTCAAGAGACTTTACAAAATTACACTTATCTCTGATTCTATGAGGTGATTTCGAACTTTTTTCTGTCTTTAGTCAATCTACGAGAAACCTCTACTTCAAATAGCCCTTTTTTATTTTGCACATCTGGTTTTATGAGCAGAAAGCTTTCAGAATCTCGGAAGTGTTCAGCAGAAAACTTAACGTAAATATGAAGTACAACGAAGAAACTAAGACTATTCCCAGAATAATTAAAATGAGGCAATAAATAGCAAACAGTCTTCATAAGTAGACAAGACAATCAAACCAGATGGCTAAAAGAACAGCCATTTTATACCGATAGATACTGTTATATCCATTCGAGAGCTATCAATAACAAGAAATATTAGAAAACCGAAAACATTAAAGTAACTATGGTAAGCAACGATAGTTGTGAAACAAAATGATCACTTCCTTATAATATCTTGAGACATTTGTGCGAGAGAGCTTATCTGAAGAATAAAATTCGCATTTATATGAATAAAGAGACTAGACTAAAAATGACATTATGGTATCTAACTTAAATTTGTCTAATACTTTATATACATGTATATATACATTCAGGTATATTATTTTTTGACGCTTTTCTAAGAAGTTTAAGTAGAAATTCCTAGAGTTACACAGGACAGTAAACTAATTATTGAATTTTTTATGTGTCCATTTGACTCGGCGAATCAACCATCTCATGTAAAGCTGAAAAAATGTTGACTTAAATAGTTGATATACAGAGAAACTATAATTTATGGACGAACCAATCAGGTGTAGAATAACAAGTCTCAGAATTCAGCTCTTAATGCACTCATCAATTTGGAAGATATTTGGGACAGTAGTTGATTTCAATTCGTGATGATAACCATAAATCTAATTCTTAACCCTAACCATCAACTGTAAATCCTTATTCTAATTCCTCAGGCTAATTTATAACCACCTTTGGTCCTAGTTATTAGGTGGACACTCCCAAGGTCACTCTGGCGTCGTTCAAAGGTCGCCAAAAAAATAAATTTAACTGTTGTTGTTATAATTCCGTAAACAATAATACTTCTCTTTCAAAAAAAAGGAATGAGAAAGGGTGTCAGACTGCGAAAGGCTTTGTGATGCAAAACATCCCAATGGAGAAAAGAAGCACTGATTACGTAGCCGATTGTGACCTTAACAAACTCAAATAAGCACGAGGAAAAAGACACTATGTGCATTGTTAAAACACTGAAAAAACAATTTCTTATAGTTCTTGAAATATTAGAATGTTGAAATAATAGTGCATCACAGTTTACTCACCATCATTTAATTTACAGTTTTCGTTATCAAGTGACAAAGTGACAAACATACGTAAACTGAACAAAAACTATTCCGTTAGAACTTTTTTTAAGTTGTGGTCCAAACATAAATTATGAAGACTTATAAGCGGTTTTACAGAATCAGTGTTCTTTCTTGACACATGAATTGTGTCCGCGGGCTATAAAATGTCTGGATACTAACTACAATTATCAGAGAAACGAGATAATGGCCTGAGCAACGTTTAAAGATCGCTGAATACTTTGACCTAATAACTCACCTTTGCACCATTTATTGATTATATCCGGCTATATATTAAAGTTGACAACATCATATCATCTTCCTCTTCAAGATAAATGTTGGTTCTAAATGGTACTGAAGAAAATATATGTATGGGGAGCAGATGTACACCCTATAATGAATAATCTGACGCTGAGACATTCAAAAAAACGTCAATAAATCTTAATTCGGCAAAACCTTTGATAAGATAAACCAGAAATTCAAAGTTGAGTGACATGTGAAAAAATGGAATGGTATAATTATTATCGACAAAAATAATATATAAGATTTAGTTATACAATAAAAACATTAAATATTTGATATGGTGTGGTGTCTGTATGAACTAATGATTTTTTTAAATTGATGACTGCCTAATTTTGAGTTCCAATACAATACTTTCGTTCGTGTTCATCTAGTACTTCTTTATTAAATCGAGTAGTTTCTGAGATTAATATTTAATGCTGCAGTTCAAATAATCATAAATGTCACATTGGCGTCGTGGTGGAGCCTGCGATAGAAAGGTTGGACACAATCCAAGCATTAAGTTGTTTAGTCGAGAAGGGGTTTCTATGATGTTAGTGATTGATAATGGCTCTCGTTTCGCTGCGGATGCAGTTGTAGTGACCGGCCAGTCTCGATAAGAACACGATTGGAATAACAGAAACAATCATTGTTATTATTGTAATCAATTGTACCAGAGATTGTTTTACTGTATTTGTTTAACTGTATCACATTCACTTCTCGTTTCGCTATCCGCCTTGTTTGGTTCGAACTTGCTCACGCACTGCCCATTTCGCCTGTACCCTTTGGCACGGTTCGGTATTATTTCGATACCACGAGATCGCCAATAAATATACTTCATCTGGATTAATAAAGCCTTCTGATTTACGAGTTATCAAAGGAACCAAGTCGTTTTTGTGCGCGTAATCGCATAGTAGTGGTGATCACAGTCCGTCCTCGACTCGACATCCAATACACAGTCACTAGTTGCTTGAATGTTATGGAATGCAAACATCTGTTTACTGCCCTTAGGCACCCTTATTCTAATGGTCAGGCAGAAAATTTTGTCAGGATATTGAAAACTGCTATTGATTCTATTGCTGCTTCAACATTTAATGAACTGGAGAGGGGAGTAGATACATTTATACTTCTATATAAAAATGTTAAACACTCTTTGACGAAAGAAACTTCATCAAAGTTATTAAAAGGAAGAATTCTTTGTTCGAATATGAGGTGTTTGGAGTCTGCAGAAGTTATATATTATCGTGAGAATGATCTTCGACCAGCCACGGGAATTGTGGTGAAGAATGTTGGAAAATCTATGGTGCGGATTCTAGATATCAATGACTTGACTATACATAACCGACATGTTGGTCAAATACAATTCCAGGATCCAGATGAGTCTGCTGCAATTTCGGTTGTTAATTCTATTACCAACTAGTACATTCTAGATAATGCAGAGTCTACATCCAATACACTGTCACACATACACAAAATGAACCTAAGAAGAAGGCATATGATCGATTACAGACACTTCTTGTTTTGTAGACTGAGAGGTAGGTCGATGCTGTATTAAAAGTTCATGATTATGAGAGAATCATCAGGAATAGGTTTATCGCCCACAAAAACATCTAGAGAGGCTGCTGAAAGAATCCAACACACCAATTTTCATGACAGCGCCCAGTTTTAGTATATCTTCACTGGTATAGATGGGTGTTTTTTTCCGAATACTAATGTTCTTTAAGACACTCTTCTTTACTTCAATGTGAATCTTTGTTCTCTTGTGCGTTTCAGAACTACATGTTTCCGAGGTTTCTGACAAAGTTGATGGTTCTGCTTAGAAAATCCTTGGCGCTTATATTTCAGGGTCACTTAAACTCACCTGCCATCTGACTCACCAAGTCTATTGTAGGCAGTTTCTGTGAGGTTTGTGTGTGCTTCCTGGAACCAACCTTTGAATTTGCCACACATCGTACCACAGGTGACGGCAACATGACACCCTGATCGCTCGCATGAGTTCTTTATGACCATATTGAAATATAAGTTGTTAGATTGGTCGTAGCAAGACTTTACGACAGTATAAAAACGCGCGAGTAATTAGTGTATCAAGAAATGAGTACAATCAACAACCTTAGAACCTTTTACCAAAACAAATGTGGACCATACTCAATAACTGGTAAAGTATTATCGACATACAGTAGCTGGTAATAACAGTAAACAATTCCTAAGAAATCGCAGAACTCATTTCAGTCTTAAAGGAATGGAAAAAAATCCATCGGTAGTCCGAACTAGTTCAAACAGCCCCCTAAATTTTGATGCTTTGTAGTGCCGTGCCTTGCCAATTGTTCACTTCGATAGCTGTTATAACAATAATCTTAACTGTGCGTAAAATCAGAAGGCAAAGATAAGTGGCAACTACAGTTTTATTGACAAATGATTGAGCAAGAAAGTTATGAGCACGTGAGCAAATATTAGCGAGCGAAGCATGAATGACACGCATTGGAGATGGCGGGTAAGCCAAATCGCTTTAAACAAGAGTAATTTAATATTTATGGTCAGATAGAAATAAATGATAAAAAGGATGAAAAGTGTGCACACACATACGCTCATATAAAAAATAGTCAGGTTTACTAAGTGAATAATTGAGAAGTTGAAAACATGACTCATGATTGAAAGGTGAATGGGTTTATCCAGAAGCTTGAATAAAGTATGTGAGCTTAACATATCAAACGATACTACAACTTTCAACAGGTTGCTCAGAAAACCATTCTATGAGTTTTGCAAGTTAATTCTTGAAATGTAAGTGAGGAATATTCAACTTCAAAACTTTGAAAATATGACGGAAGCTCGTTGATAGGAGTAAGGACAACGTGCAAAGTTTTCACTGTGTTTGATGGCAGTTACTTTCTGAAGAGAAAACTAATTGTTTCTAACGGATGTTTAGCTTTGTTCGTGCTTGAATAGGTTAGTCTATTTTGAGTAACAACTTATCATTACGTTCAGTGACCCAGAATACCTACGTGTATTTGCTACACTTATTCATTCATTTACTTATTTTGCTTAGTTCAATAATTTATTTTTTAATTTTGGCGGATCAAAAATAATATCCCAAAAGTAGGGCTAGTGCAAATGAACGTAAATAAAACTGGTTAATGATCTGAAAAAACAAGAAAGATCATACAAATTGCCACTTGTGAATGTCAGAATCCTATCTGTTCACGGATTTTAGATTAAGCATAACACTAAGATATCACGCAACCAATAACAAGAATTACACGAACCAAATTAAACTTCAGAAGATATGGTTTATAACAAAAACTATTTATAAACAA